AACTTTGAAACACTTTGTATTCATATTTTTGATAATATAAGCTGTGAAACTCGGTTCTCATCTTCTCTACCTTTGTCTATTATCAGACTACTGTTCGTTGTGTGTGGGAGAACGATGCATGGCATGTACACACTTGCGTGAGATGGTCTCCAGGACCCATGCATGTTGCGCATGAACGCCCGCTCCGACGAAGAGGAGGACCAGGAGGGGACTCCGGATCGGGATCCGGATCTCAATAACAACTGAACTGCTTTCCCTGATCGGCTTCGGGCAATGTGGGATTCATAGGTAGCCTTTAGAAAAGTTAGAGGAAGGGATAGATCTGTCGACATGGTAGTTGATACTGCACTAAGACTGATTATCGTTCTCCTCACGATGCACGGCGCACTGCCCTGGACCGAAAAATTCAGAGACCTATGGAGGGTGGAGAGCTTGAACTGGGAGAATCCGGAGCGATGCGTATACGCTCTGGTCTCTGCGAATTGTAGGAAGATCTACATCGGGAGGACCGGCCGTAGACTAAGCCTGAGATGGAAGGATCATCTCGCATGTAGCCGGGGAAAGGAGAGTAAGACCCAGACGCTGTACCGCTGGCTTAGAAAGATAGGACCGGAAGAGTATATTGCTATACCTCTTACTGCAGCAGAAAATGACGGTGATCTGATGCGGATTGAGAAATGCCTAATCAGACGATGGTCCCCAGCTCTCAACTATCAGGCGAACAGACGACCAGGTATGAAGAGAAGAAGGAGGAGGAAAGGAAGAAGAGAAAGGAAGGGAAGGGGCTGAGATAATAAAGAGAAGAAGGGAAAGATCCTACGTTTCTCGGACAAGGAGGGGAACACAACTACGCGTCTGACCGATTACCTGGAACAAGCTCTCAAGAATGGACGGCGGGATATAGGCATCACCTGTACCGGAGAGATCTGGTGTGAGGATTGGAAAGTTCTGAAGCGGAGATTCGGAATGACAACGATAGAAGTACGGGGGGTGATTTGCCTTCTCAAGGAGGCAAAGAGACGAATCGAAGTCGGAGGTCTGATTACTATCAAAGACCCGGCGGAGACTGTATCCTTCCCTTCGAAGATTAGGAGGGAACTCCTATTGCTACTCACGCAACCGTGGCGTAGGAAACTACTGTGGAAGAAGGAGAACCATGTGCTGACCCACATGTACCAGGCGACGAGGGGATTCGACAAGAGTACGAGACAACGAATGAGGAATATTATCTCGCGGGTTCTTAACGAGAAAGTAGGAACTAATCTGAGGAAGAGACATGTAATCAGGATTCCGTACGATGGTAGGGTGGATAGGAGGAGAATTGGTGACATAGCAAAGGGAAAGATTGGCGAGCTTGGGATGCATGATTCGATGGCGAGCATTGTACAAAGACACGTCCGAGTTGTCTGGATGAAAAAACAGACAATCGGAGACGTGCTTCACAACCATAGAGACTACGCGCGCTCTAATGGTAGCATTTGCGTTTGCGCAAATAGCCCTTTCCCTCTAGTGAAAGGAAACGTACGATGCCGATTATCGGATTTAGGAGCTCCTGATTTTTTACTGAATGCTAGAAATATCCCTCCACAACGGACTAGAGAGGTAAGGAGGGGAATTTTGGCCGCTATTCTCGACGGACTTGGTGAGATCTTCAGGACTTCGGGAAAATGCCTCACCGTCCACATGACAGATATTCAAGATTGTGTGCGTGAAAGGGAGATTGCGCATGAGGGCTACCTCCAACTCGTGCAAGAATGGAAGCGGCGACTTCGGGGACTCGTTTGCATGCCAATGGGCCGAAATCCCGGGGCAACGCACATCGTGTGTCCGACGGTGTACGCAAAGGCACTTCGGGATACCTTCTGGCATGGAGGAAGTTTCAAGATGTGTACCGTATCGGCGGATCTAGCGCTGACCACCTGCAGAAGAAGCTACGAGGAGGGAGGCTTTAAGAGTCTGAGAGCATGGCGAAAGAAAGGGAGATTCGGGGATGAGTACGTTCTTCCGAAACACAAAGATCCCGCGAGATGGCGACCGATCGCCCCTGCCTGGAACTCGCCCTCGAAGGTCAGAGCAAAGAAGGTTGCTAAGGCTCTGCAGTGCATGCTCGATAACCTGGCGAGAGGCCTGCATTTTAACACTCACTCGTCTGAGGATGCAATCAAGAGACTCCATGGCTGGGCTTCTCGTCTGGAGGAAGGACATGGAGTGATGTCGGCATGCTTCGACATCAAAAACATGTTTGCTGAGCTACCGCACGCGGCAATATTGGGATCTCTTGATTGGATGATCTGGATGATGGGGGAGAAAGGCTACGACAGGGTGAATGTGAACTGTCGTGGAAAGAAGCCAGGGATGGGTAAACGAAACAGGGATGGCCACTTTCCCGTGAAGCTTGACTGCATCCGTCGGTGGGTCAGATACGAGCTCGACCACTCCTACAGTCTAGCCGAGGGTGAACTGATACAGCAGATCCAGGGGATCCCCATGGGAGGCCACACTAGTCCTTCCCTCGCGTGTATCCTCTGTGTCCATAGCGAAGCCCAGTTCATGTATGAACTGGGGACACTTCGGAAGAGGGTCCTGGGTCTGAGACTCATGGATGATGTAGCTTTCTTCGTCCGTTTCCAGCGAGAGAAGACTGTTACAGTCTGTCAAGCACGAGACATCATCGAAAAATTGAAGGGCTGCTACCCGTCGTCCTTATCCCTGGAACGGACGGATGATGACCATGGGATGCTCTCCTTCTTGGGGTGTAGGATCCTCGTCGACCAGGAAGGACCGAAGATCACTACGGTGCTACAGATGAAGAACCAGGACTGCCTATGCGAGGACCAACCGCTGACATTCCAGTGCATCCAGGACTTTAAGTCCTATAGTGAGAAACAGACCAAGATCTCCATGATCAAGAGCTATTTGCATCGTATCATGAGATGTCCGAATGATGTCACACTTAGAGATCTTCCGGTGGCCTGTCTTAGGAAAGAGCTCCGTACGAGACATTTCCCCGTATCTGTGATAGACATGACGGTGCAGTCCTTTGAATGGGAGCAGGGGTGAGACTAGGAGGGGAACCCTCCATCCCGTAAGAATGGAGGTAGAAGAGAGAGAGAGAGAGAGAGAGAGAGAGAGAGAGAGAGAGAGAGAGAGAGAGAGAGAGAGAGAAGAGGGGAAAGAGAGAAGGGATGGGGGAGGATAGAGGGTGGTTTTTTCGTTTTTCGGCGTTCTGACGCCTTGTATTTTCTTCTATTTTATTTTATTTATTTATTTATTTATTTTATTTGTATTTATTCGCATTTGCTAGTATCTTAGTTCATTCTGAGATCGGCCAGTTTTTCAGTCCTGAGTATCGGCCTTTCCCGTTTTCTACCGACGGGATACCAGGTCTGACTGGTTTTCCGCTGGCAGAAATCTAGCCAGCAGGGGAGGAGTCAGAACGGACTTCSCSATAGACCRATGYTTTTTAGATTTAGTKTGTAGTATTCGCAGAATTTTGATGACGGGCCACGGGCCGAGACTACTTAACTAACAGATTCGATGAGGCCAGTCCTTTGGGTTTTGCGGTTCGAGGGAACCCCCCCTGACGATGATCGGTTGGC